TTTTAAGGTAATGTCCTTTGATTTAACTTCTATGCTTTATAAATAACTATATATCTTAATATACTGTAATATTGTTTGCCTTTTTAACTGCTTTCTTACGTCGTATACAAGATGTATGTTTCAACATATCACTGAAGTCCTTTATCAGTAACCTTTCTATCTCGGTTCTTCTCATTGTGTATTGATTGTTTATGTTTTGTTCCCTACATGCAAAACAGTGCACTTCAAATTTAATCTGCCTTTTACATTACACATCCCCTGCCAGGTGGTTTCTCAGTCATGAATCCTAATATATCATCAACAAACCTGACTAATTTATTACAGGTAATTATAATAGAATCTAGACCATTTATATAAATAAAGAACTGCAGTGTATCTAGTATAGACCCTCTGATACTCAAGTAATAACAGTACATCGCTAATTACATGACCCCAGTTTGAGTATTCACCTCTTATACAGTATGTACTCTGTTTTCTGTTTAGAAACCAGTTCTTAATTGCTCATGCACACACACACATTTTACTGAATGCCTACTACCTGTAACCTGAGAAATTATTATGAGGAACTATAAATAAACCTTCTGGAAATCTTAATACACCATATCATATACTTTGTGTCCCTTATCATTGTAGCTTGTTCAAAAAATTGGTAAGTTGTTAGGTAAGACCTACAGTACCTTTGCTAAATCCGTGTTGAGTATTTCCTGGGATCTTATCTCCATGTGGCTGATTTCTAGTCTTGTTCTAATTTTTGTTTGCCTCATCTTACATGTAATAAATATTGGTCTATAATGTTTGGTTTTGTCAGCCTTCTTGTAGAAGGGTGCACCATTAGCAATTTTTCACTCCATGTGTGCTACAGGTACCTCTTTTTAGTGTTATGGTTGAAAGAGCATCCTCAATGGCTTCTGAATAGCATCTCATGTTTCCTTGAGTACAACTGGGAGGGTGCCATGGGGCCCTGGAGATTTTAAAATCTTGAATGTTTCTGGTACGAGAACCACTCTTCTGCCTCTTATATGCTTACACTATTTAATAGAGAACCTGATACAGGATGTCAAATGAGTGAAATACACATTCAAGTAATAGGTTTATTCCATGCTGAAAAAAAGAAGAAAGAGAACACAACGTTTCGGCCGTGGAGCCTTCTTCAGGTGTGAAGAAGGCTCCACACATGAAGAAGGCTCCACGGCCAAAACGTTGTGTTCTCTTTCTTCTTTTTTTCAGCATGGAATAAACCTATTACTTGTTCCTTTGCAGCCTACGCATGCTGACGCAGCTACCCCCCTGAACAACAAATACACATTCAGTGCATTTCGCATTATTGTCCCAGGTCCATTTGACTGTAGCCTTGAAACACCCGCAGCTGAAGTCCATGTAATCATGACTGATTGGTGGAGGTAAAATGGTGGATTGCCAGCCTGGAGGGATCTTTGTTTTTGACATGTTCCCTGAAACAGGTGTCCAGTCTTCTTCCCATTTCTTCCATGTAAATGATGGCGCAAGAGAGGTGGCTACTACAGAAGTGTACTTTCCTCTGGATGAAGCTCCAGTGGGAGCCAGAGTGACCAGGTATACACATGCTGCTGGATATGTACAGTATTTGAAGGCGATAAAGCTCCTTCTGCTGCAGCAGAAAGTGCCTGGTCAGGATGGAGGCTGCAGATTGTTTTGGGAAGAGGATTCAGCAGGTTGCATAGACTAGGTGTTTAGAGGTACAAGAAGATCAGAGGCGTGGAAAACAGTTGTTACTGTAAGCTTCCAAAATAAAGATGGTTTATTTGTCGGCCTTGATAATAGATGGGGTGTGAGAAGGGAAGGGTGGGACCAAAGGAATAAGATTCTGGGTGAAGATATATCTTTGTAAAGGAAGGGCTTTGCTTTGGAAGTTGGTCTCATTGCTGCATGCCTGAGAACTGTGAAAAAGGAACTTTAACATTTTTGGGAAGGAAGGAAATGTAAAGGAGATAATTGTGTGAATCTGTGGATTTGTAATACACAGAAAGGTTCTGTCTTGAGTAGTAAATTAAAGACATGTTCAGAAAGAACAGAGTGGAATAAAACTCCTTGTTCCTGTTCATCCTGTACCTTGACGCAGCTCCCCAATTTACATTGTGAAAACCTGATATTGAAAAATAATTTTCATTGCTTCAATGAAACATATTAACATTTTTTAATATAAGAAACAGAGTTCTTATGTTTGCACTATACTAGATCACTAACACCATTGCTTGTGGTCACAGAGGAACCTAGTAAGGTCATTTTGAAGGGTCAAACTCTAGTGCCATAAATAGAGAGGACATTGTTAATGAGCTGTTTCTCTTTATATTTCCAAAGTGATGAGTTTTGTGTTAATATTTTTAAATTAAAATTTGTATTAAAGGGTGTTATGTTTCTTTATATCGTTTTTTTTTCAGAGAAAGTAAAATCATCTGGAAATTAATTTTCCAGAAATTTCGGATGTTAATGGTGGCTAACACGAGAATATTTACAGTATGTCTCCATGGATATGTGTAATTTTAATTCATATAAGTTAGATATTTAATGCAACAAGATTTGTCGTAAGTTGTTCAAGAGGAACTGCCAACAGTAATACAGTTCACCCTAATGCAAACGTCAACCCGTGTCATCACTCAGATGTATAAACTATTTTATCTCAAGCTGAAAGTGAATACATTGTGTTTAAAGCTTTAGCAAAATACTTTTTGTTGTATTTTACTGTATACAAATGTTGTAAGGCAGAATAAATGTACTAAGTCACACTGGGTGTGTAAATAGAGCCATTTGGAGAGGATGTAGTTGTGTGCAGCTGTAGAAGGACTCACCCTTCTCTGCCCCTGTGCTTCTCTCTGCTGCAGCAATGGAGGGGTGGGTGGCTCTGCTGCTCCTGATGTACCACACGCAGCAGTGGCAGACTGTCGCCACCAGAGGGCAGGACAGCATCAAGTCCCACATCTTCTACGCTGTAGAAATGGAAGGAGGCAGCCCAGCTGCCAGAGCCTTGGCCAAGCAGCATGGATTGCAGTTCATTTCAAAGGTCAGCGCATATTTAAACTTGCTTTATTACTTCCACCTATATGCCTACGATTTTCATTTTTTAAATCAGTTTACTGAGGATCTTTTATAGACAGAAATATGAAAGTGCTGACTTTCATTTCCATTTGGGGATATCAGGCTTTTATCAAATTACAGCAGCGGCTTTTCTGAATATTTCATATCTGATCAGAAAGGAAATCCAAAAAAGGTTTTACTTTCTTTACAGGAATTATATTACATGAAATTCTTCAGCAGAGAATTTTGATTTAATTAATTTTTTATTGAATGTAGAGGTGAAACCTGTTCTATATCAATTAACTTTTGCAGATTTTTTTTCCTTATGATTTGCTGTATCACATTCAATCTATGTGTTATACAATATTCAGTGTGAAATGTGTGTAATTCTAAATATGTGCGGTGCTCAAAAAAGGTATCTAAATGTCAGTTTTTGTGTCTTGCAACTTGCTCTGCATATTAATGGTGAAAATGTAAGGTTTTTGTCTCTCATCTTTAATGTCTTTTTAACAGAAGCCTTTTGATTAAGTGCATGTTTTAAGTTGTTTAAATTTTAAATAAGATTTGGTTTGGTGAGACTGGAAATATTTGCACTTGTTATCATGATTTTTCTTTGAGTCCAGGACTCAAAAGTTGATGTTGGCCTTGCTGGTCTTCAGAGTACCATATATTTGCTAATATTTTTTCATTTTGTGTTACCTTTGATAGTGATAGTGTTTTTTTTTTGTGTGTGTATGTTACATGTTCTCTCAAAATATTTTTTTTTGCCGTCAAGTAGTTTAGTTTGTGTTCAGATTTAATCAGTTACAAAAAAGTCTTCACCTGACTTTATCAACTACCTATTTACCTGTTGTAAAATATACCTGTTTGTCTCTATACAGTATATTTATGCAGTTTCGTAGGCATGAACTCTCAGTTCAGACCCCTCTGACACCACCCCACCCCCCCAAAACAATTTCCCTAGGAAGACCTCAGAGAAAAAAAAAGAGCTTTTTTAAGAATCGCTGTTAAAACATTCTCTTAAAATAGTTTATGATCAATGAACACTATCATAACAGAAACCGGTAAGGAATACATTTCTAGATCATATAAAGTTTTTTTCAAGACAATACTTTGCAGCAAAGGATCATTTATGATTCTGGGCAGCTCAGCTTGTCAACTAACGTCTGCTCACCCATCTTGATATGTTATATTATTTACTGTTTATAGAGGAAAATAGACAGCTTGAAACACGTCATAAGCTAGTAATACAGAAACAGCAAAAGGTTATGAGTGATTTTATATATTGCAAAACTGAAGGCTGATAAATATATAGTCATTCTGAAACTTGAGCTGCTGTTTTCTTGTGTAATATACAGTAGGTCATCTGATATTCATGCACTTTAGGCCTGTTGTAAAGCATACCTTCAGTCATTTTGTGGCTTTTGAGGATGAATGTCAAATAAGCTTGAACAGTAACACACAGCGCTTTGTAGAGTACTACAGGGTTTTATGCAAGTGAGTTTGTGATGGTGCCTGTTCTGTTTAAGCAGGTTGATTTAAACATTGAAGGACACTATGAAAGAGGAGAGAAGTGAAAAGGCAGCCCATTCAGTTCCCCCGCAGTACAACAGCAAATTTTCACAAATGATCATCATCAATTTTCACAACTGCATTTAAATTGTGCAGTGAGTGGGAAAAGCTACACTGATTAACAGTTATTCCATTATCACATGGAATGCTTGGTGTTCTTGTAACATGATGTACAGTAAAGGGAAATATTGCCGGAAATATGCCTTAATCACTGTTCATAGCATTACATAGTTATGAATGTAGCTATGAAGAATAAGAGTCTGGTTTTTTTTTTGTTTTAGTCACACTAAAAATGTAGCACTCATCTGTCATGTTTTAGAGCAACTGTTGCTTAAACCATACTTTTAATTCTATAAACAAAGTTCTTTTTTAAAACAAAAAGCAAACATATACAAATATGAGAATATACAGGTTACAAGCAAGAGTATCCTCTTCAGTTTATCTAGCTTACAGTATTTAGTTGCTAATGACTAATTGATCCAAGTATCTCATTAAGGTGTTTCTTGAAAGAAACCAGGGTGTCGGCTTTGACAGTGTGGGTAGCTTGTTCCAGACTCCCACAACCCTTTATGAAAACAAGTACAGTACCACTTATTCTAACTTTTAAATGAACTTAGTTTCTATTGGTATCTGATTTTATTCAGAAGAAACCCATTGGTTGTCAGAGTGTTTAAAATATTTGAATCAGTCTCTTTGAACTCCAGAACGTATTTCTATGTTTGGCAGGACGAATTAAGCAAGTTAGAGCATTGACATCAACATCATGTTACTGTATATCTGTAGTTTATGTTTTTGACCATTTAAAACCCTCTACATTTATATATGAAATTGAATTTTTCAAGGTTTTTGCACAGTCTTCATTTTATCTTAATCTTTTTGAATTTCCTTTGCAGCTACTGCACATCATTAGCTAATCCACCTACTCCAGTATCACACCAGTAAGCCTGATAATCTTAAAAACTATATCAGAATCTAGGTCATCAAGTGAAATTAGGAAGAGCAATGGTCCTAATAGAGATCCCTGTGGTGCTGTACTTACTGTATTACATCATCACTAAACTGAGCTTTCCATTGACTTCCACTCAAGAGCTCTAAAAACAACTGGTTTGCAAAATCTTCCTGTGAAATGGCAAATGCACCTCGTACCAATTCACAAAGAAATAAAACATAGATTTTCAGCCTATACACATGCATTGTTTTTGCAGAAATGAAAGTGGTACAGTTTTGATGATTATTTGTAATTTAGTTTAATTTTAATTTTAATTTTAATAATCCCTTGCAGTGTAAAATCGGAATTCATAAAACACTGAAACCTTTTCTGTTCTTACTTTATATCAAAACTGCCTTAGATTTAATGGTTTGGGTAATATAAAAAATTACAGTGTTCTGGATACGTAGGTCAGCTTTAACACATATAATTCCCTTTGTCAAGGCTCTCAAGTGACTCTGCCAGTAAAGGAGGTTTTTCGGAGCACAGGCTGAGTCCTGTAGTCCAGACGTTGTTAGCTCAATCTGGACTATGCCATTAGACTGCTATGTCTGAGATGTACAGTTAGCGGAGTTCTGCAAGAGTCCAGCACGAATGAACTACCCTGGGTATCCTTCTAATGTGCACAAAACTTTGTTTCCCGTGACCTGGAAGCACCTGCCAGCTCGGGGTTTTGTCAGTGAGAGCTACATCAGTCTTCCAATCAATGCTAACTCTTTTTTGAGATTCTGTGGCTCTAAGACCATGACAAATGGCTCTTACAATCAACGATTGTTTCCTGAGTATATTGGGTATAATCTCAGCCTGACAGCAGGTAGTGATGATTTGTTTGTTCCTCAATTTCTGTTCCAAAGTGGAGGTTCTGGAAAATACAGTATTTGTTATTTTAAATTTTAAAAAATAGAAATTAAACTACTGGCTAATATTTAATATTATAATAAATGTACGTACATTCTGAATTATTTTAATACACCATGAATGAAAGGGCCTAGTAAACTATTCCTCACACACCTAAGTGAACTTTTGTGTTTCATACTAGGATCTTGGTTTTACCTTCTCACTCTTTCCCCAGTATATAAAGACAGGTTTCTCTCTTTCTCTCTCAATTTTAAGTACAACATTTCAATAAAAGTCTCAATAAATGAGCTTTTCATGATCAAATGTTAATTAACTAATTTTCAAGGGGAGCTGTTGTTGCACCTTATACAGGAAGTAAAATGCATCTGCATGGAAACGAGCAACTGAATATTTTAAAATCAACGTGAAAATGACTTGCACTTTTAGTGGATTTTCATATTGCTCCTGATTCATATCCAGTATTCTATTTTCATTTTGTAAAGTAATAGGAAAGCAAGCCGAGGTGTTTGGAGATGAAGCAGAAATCTGGGGCTTGACTATTACAATTCGACCCAAGTGCATCTTTTCCCTGAAATCCAAACAGAGTTACTGCTGTTTTCGAACCTGACATGACTTTTCAAATTATCTGTGAAAGTAGCTCCTGCTGTTCTCTACCCTTGGTTACATATGTTGTACATTATTATAAGACCTTCCTGGCTACATAAAAAATTTAAGTATATACTGTATTGAGGCAGAAAGCCTACTGTCCATACAGTGATAAACTACTATGTTACTGCTGCTTTGATGTGATGCATTTTACTTGCTAATAAACTGCTACCATTTTCAGCTATTTCTTCAGTTTTTTTAAGGATAACTGTAGTTCCTAATTTTAAATCAGTCAGATTAATTGCATTCCAATTTTTCCCCCATATGATGTTTAGCTGCCTTGTTCAGTCATTTTTGAAAAGTAATGTATTTCGATCATGCTCAAACACAACAACATGCATGAAAAGATACTTTATTTTTGAATTATTTTACACAGACATGGAAAGTGCTTGTTTGGTATAGAAATCATTTAAAAATTAGTATTGGAAACAAAATATTGTTATATTGATACACACACATTACCAGATGGTGTATACCAAAACTATTTCATAAATATATATTTTTTTTAATTCAGAAAATAAGAAGTCAGTATAAAAGTGTATTGATCTTTATGTAATCCTACATGCAATTGAATATAAGAAAATTGCATATGGGCATTTTGGTGACTGTGTAAAAACATTATCTGTAATATTTAATGTAAAGGGGGTAGTTTCTGAATTATTGTAATATTGCTTTCAGATTTTTGTGGAATGGTATATTTAATATTGTTAATGTTTTTATACCTGTGGAGTAAAACAAAAAAATATAAATGTTGTTTCATGAAATCTTGATGGCCTTGTAAAGCAGCAAGTAACAAGATATTAATACTATTGGGAAATTTCTACACTACGATTAATACAATGAAATTATACCACAGTTACATTTAGAATATAGTATTTAGATATAGATTTTAGAAATGCAATACCAGGTTTCACTCTTAACTG